TTATGTGATACCAATATTGCAACGTAACTTGATAAAGAGTGGCAGTGTTGATGTATCAGCAGATGCTGCTTTCCTTGGCAAAAAATTTAAATTATTTGATCACACCTATAGCGAGGAAATCGTTTACTTTGCAATGGCCGTTTTTTAAATCGTTCATAAAATATGGCTTGAATATCTGTCAGTTAATTACGTTTTGGAATGACAACTTTTAATTTCGGAAAATTTGGAGAACAGATAATTGACGTTCTCTTTAGCGGTATAAATTTTTTATGATCCAAAATGTTATGCGTCTGTACACTAAGCTCGAAAGTTAGGCTTAGAGCCCAGAATAAGTTTTGTTTAGCAAAAACTTGAGTGGAAAACAAAAGAAAGCATCTCATTAAAGGTCGGCAAATTGACAGATTCAGACTTAAGTAAGGAATAAAAGTTTCTATGAGCAACTTTGAAAATGGATCGGCTATAAACAGGGGTAATTTAGATGCCACTGAACTGAGTTTTCATTCCGTAGGCCATATGTCATTTACATATCGACCCAGAGAAGCGAAAATTGCAGTTAAAGCCCTTGGCATTGTTAAGAAATATTGCAAAACGCAACGATAAGAAAATACAGATGGAGCTAAAACTTTTGTCGTTCACTTAATTTTTCAGATAATTTTCTTCTTCAGATAATATATAAATGCTTCCCCAACTATTTCCGTGCTTCATTTTTATTTCTTTTTATTTTCTGCATCTAGATTATCCACCTTTTCCTAGACGGGATTGTGATCTACCTTAAAGACGTTCGTACGTAGCTGAGCGACCGCGCTCTACTGGTGACAAAATATCCTCAGAATATACCAAGAACCGGGAGAGGAGGCGAGGGAAGGCGGGGGCGGGGTGACAGCTACCCTTTATTTCGCAACTTTTCTGTTTCCCATGATCAGAAAAGAAATCTGTCCATCATTTGAGAACCGTAACGAGCATGCACATGACGTGAACACAACCCGAGGAAACTGCAACTTGCTCGCCGCCATTTCTGTTCAAGATTTGCCTTCTATTCGATAATCAGTTTTCTTCGCTGTTTGCAACTTTTAGGAACAGCTCTCAGACAATCAAGACTAACGGAATAAAGGACCAACTTTGTGTTGGATTAGCGACAAGTTTCAGGCTGATATTTTCCTGGTGAACGTGAAAGATTTCACATTCTTGGTGGCCTGTAGCGTTTTCGCTGTCTCAGTAGGATAATTAACTAAACTGAAGCATTTCTTTCGCTCTGGAAATTTTAAGGTTCACTACCCCCATCTTCACAACGACGAAAGACATATGATTTCCTTTGCAATAATTCTTCCGCTCTAAATTCTATGGAAAACAGCGATGTCGAACTGTTTCATGACTGTCATCATATTGCGAAGCCTCCGAATGTAAGTCTTTAAAATATTTCTCAACTGTTCAGAGTTGTCAATTTAAACTTGAGCTTACATTAAATGAGCCTTTCTGTCTTACTCTTAAAACACTGCGTTTGCTTTATAATGTTTCTGTTATATATGTTGAGTTTGAAGACTTTCTACGAGTGATTTAAATCATAAAACTTCAAGGCAGTTACAATTCAATCAATAACACTCAAAACAAGAGTACAGTAAAAAGCCGCGTGTAAGAACCTTGTCGATTAAGAACCTGCTGGAAGAAATTTCACATTTTAATATCCACAATTAAATACGAGAACCTGTTTAGACAAGCAAGATGAAGCAGGTTCTTACGTGTGGGTACTGTTAAATTATGAATTGTTGTTATGGAGACAATTATCACTACATATACATTCTTTAACCAGTTGTGCTAGGCTTATTAAAATACAGTTGTGAATAATTATAAATAATGTGTGGTAATCATCAACTATATCTCCTTCATAGAAATTAAGAACCTAATCAATAACCTACTTAGCCTAAACTGCCAATAGCTATCCCAAAAACCAAGAACCTGTTTTGCCAGACTTTGCCAGGGTTGTTACACGCGGGTTTTTACTGTAGCAATACAGCTACTGGATTTTCATGTTTTGATAATACAGTGATAACAAAGGTTTTGGAAACCTCCATCTCTTACTGTTCAGTACTAATTGAACACTACAAATTTGAAAGCATTTTCCTGTTTCTGCACGGGGATGCCCAAGATCGATGGAATGCTGAACACAGACTCAAAGTGAATTTTTGCTAGGTTGAGGTATTTCATTTACAATTTCGTGACCCGTGAAAAAAAAAAAAAAAAAAAAAAGCAGCCTTCGCTCACATGCTTCGACATAATTTGTACCGTTGATAAGCATCAGTTTCATTTGTGTGGTGGAAGAAAACGCTGTCGTACTTCTGTATATCAAAATAGAGCTGCCATACACTCATCTGCAAAGAGAGATATGGAATATACCCAGGGAAGGCAAATGAGCAATGTTACCTGTATGTGTGTGCTGGTAATGAGGTACACAGGCAAAATGGTCATTCTTCCAGACAACTAATTTTCACTTGGGCAAACCTGAGTCAATAGAATCTTCACAAATATTCCATTTTGATACTTGACTCCAAGCTTTGGAGGATGAAAAGAAATTGTATCAAGCGCAAGGGATGTTTGTTTTATTCCTCTAAGGCAAAGAAATGAGTAAGGATTTTAATACATCAAATTTGACCTAAAGTGCTGCCTATCAGTGGCTTGCCCCTGTTATGAATGGCAATTCTTAGGAGGAGCTGAACTGTTTGAAAAATGATTCAAAGGTGGCATGAGGTAGTAAAGTCAAACTTCCTGCACACCCCCCATCACGACTACTTGACTGGGCCCATTGTTGAAACAGTGGAAAGTCTAGAAGATTAAAACAAAAGTCTGAAGATGATTACGAAGAAGCAAAAACATAAATTGTGTTGTTAATTTTCTTCTTATTAAGTTTCAATAGACCAAAGAGATTTTAATGAATTCTCAATTTTGCCAAAGGACCTGTCCAGTATTTGCGTATTCGCCTTCCACGTATGTAAGTCCGCCATGTTTCTCGTCCACAAGGTCAGTACTTAGTCTCGCTCGGCAATTTTTTTTAACTGGGGCGATTATAGAAACTCGAATCCAGTCCTTGCTGCCAGCGCCCCTGCTCCGAACTTTTGCGCCTATCGCGAAATAACCTACACCGCAAGTAGGAAATTCCCCTGGGCGTTAGTTTATTCTTCTCTAATTACTCTTACTAAATTTGTTGCCGTACGAACTCGTAACTGGTGAGATCTCTTGGTTTGATCAACAATTTTGCTGTGTTTTTCTACAATAGTTTATTAGTATTTTTTTCTTGTGGTGTACATTATTAAATATAAGCTTCAATTATTGCGTAACAAGAAATTAACAATGACGACATTATCCACAAACACTATATATATTTAATCCACGTTGATTGTTTAAGTCCTTCGTTTTACTGACAGGAAAATATTTCATCACACAGTGGTATTTAAACTGACAAGAAAGTACATAATCCTGTTACGTTATTCAAAACTTCCTCCGAAAGATCGATTAAGTTAACATATAGATTTATCCAAGCCTAGACGGCGAAGCTCCTGGGCCGGGTTGTTCAAAGCCCGATTAAGCTAACCCAGGATAAGTGAGAATTTTCCCTTGAGTTTTGTAACTTTGTGGTGAGGTTTTCTGTATTTTGTTTGGCCTACAAGAAACCTCTACTGACCGTGAGCAATGAAATGAAAAAAGTACGATCAGAAATCCACTGGTCTGATTTTCATCTCGGTCCTCTTCAGGGAGTAGTAAAATCCCTTCCAGTGTATCCAGTTCACACCATCACCTTCAGGGCAGGGATTTTCATGACGATAGATGCCATTCAGGTTAGACCGGTGACAGTTATCGTACCACCAGGCTCCGTGAAAAACCCTGGCACATGATATGCGTGTTTGATCTCGGGTGGAAAATTGATAACCACGATGATAAGAGAGAGAGTCACCAGCCGATCCTAAGAAATAAAATCAAGAAATGAGCAACCATCCATTTGTAGTAGCTAAAGGTTTCTAGTGCGCGCGTCAAAACAAGCCACACTCAGATAATTCTGTTATAGGCTTCTAATTGCTTTAGTGTAATTTCCGGACGCAAATAATAAGAACTAGAAAGTAATATACCGTGCCTGTTTAACAGTCTGAAGAGCGCTACTTTCACAGATCGGTACAAAATAGCAAAAAAAGAATCATACCTGAGTAATTGCCGAGGTTCAGCTTGTACATGTTATTCTCATTCATAACACCGAACATGTTGTACTGGACAAAACGAGTATTTCCTTCGAAGTCTTCCAAGTCCACACGTAGCATGCTGTTATTGACCGAGGTCAGGCGGTGAATTTTGTCCAGGCCGAGCCAAAATGCACCATTCAGGTCACCAAAACCAGCTTTGTAATCGCTCCAGTTTAGGTAAAAATCAACCGAGCCGTTCAGTCTCTTCTGAAACACTGTCCAACCCCCACCGGCTGTTGTTTGGTCACAAAACACATCAAAGGCAGGCAAATTGTCTGGTCTGATGGTGTACACACCGTCTCTTCTTTCACCAGATTTATAGATTTCAGTGCAGTTGTTCTTGTAAGCTAAAGGGAGAAATAAAAATCTCGTCTAAAAATCTTACTGGAAGTTTAATTTGTCGCCCGGGGGGTTCCTGGAAGGCTATAGTCTGTATGGTGCATGCCTGGTTTAAACCAAATGCTTTCCTCATTCTTCTTCACAATCCGATGGATTACAAGAGCTTTCGTATGATAACTCATTTCAATAATTCATTTGCCCGCTCTTAGCCAATCACGGTCACACTGAAGTAATTTCTCCTTCATGTATTAAGGTAATAATAATTGGGCTAACCGGAGTACAAATTTGTTTTGTCACCGATCGCAACGGTCAATTTTTTGGCTGAGAAATCACGGCCAGTACATCTTTCCAATCAATGTAGTAGGTCGAGCCATTTCCCAAGAAGGACATATTCTCAATAAGATACCATACAAAATATATAACAAACCGTTTACAGTTTTAAATTATTACAATGACTTGAATTTTTACTCGGAAAGACATTTTACCTAAACATGAGCGACCATCTCCGGCAAATCCTTCCTTACAAGAACAGTTATGTCCGCCGACAGTGTTGATGCAAATTGCATTCACGCCACAGTCATGACTTCCTTCTTTGCATTCATCGATATCTACAATATAAATAAGTATAGGTAATCGTATGGATGCGAATGCAATTAAGGATCTACATTACGATTAACAATTGAAAATTCTCTCAAAATTGCACGCACCTAAGACGAATGCAATCCTTAATTACTCGAGCTTTCATACGATTAGTCATTTATAATATGACTGAAAAAATTACGAACGACCGCACGTTGATTTGCCCTGCAGCCCAAATAAAAAAAATGATAAATTGGCCTGCTCTGAATTGTTTTCTCAGTGAAATAATAACAGTCTGCACGCAATACGTTTGAAAGTTATTTTTTTTATTATTTTTTATTTTATTTTGAAGATTCGCCATGGGCAGGTGGGCATACAAGAGAACACTGTACCCTACTAGGTAAACCCACCAGTTTTTAGTCCGGGAACTCCAGTAGTCAGCTTTGTATTTATCACATTGAAGTAAAGACAGTTTACCTGAACATGAGCGACCATCTCCAGTAAATCCTTCCTTACAAGAACAGTTATGTCCGCTAACTGTGTTGGTGCAGTTTGCATTCACGTCACAGTCATGGTTGTCGGTAATACATTCATCGACATCTAAATTGAAAACGATTAAGAAAATATTTTTTAGCTTTTGGTATAAAGTAAAATTCTCTGATACTCAAAGATAAGTGCAATGGTTTAATTCTAGTTTAAACAAAGAAGCGTTCTGTAGCATCAAACCAAAAGTTTTAAAACAACACAGAAGTAATATGAAAGCTGATTTTCAGTAACCTTCCAAGTTCATGTCACAATAGACCAAAACTGCCGTTCCATTCGCAGTTGGATCCAGCCAGTACTTGCTGCTACTGGTGTCTTTGCCTTCGCTTGCCTTTATTTCATGACACGAATGCGCTGGGAGTTCCGGAATGGAACCCAATGGAGCTTGGATCAAAAAGAAAGGGAGAAAATTTTACCAATTATACTGTGATTCACTATTATGATAAATACAGTGGTTCTGTTGATTTAAAAGGCTCTTTGACTGGGTAGTCTCGGGCTTGATGCTCAGATGTTCTAAAAACAAGTAGAAACCCACACAGATTTCATTCTTTAGTCCAGTTTCGCCGATTTCGAAACAAATTAATTCAGTCCTTTCGGTGCACGGGATAACATTTGCCGAAATTTTGAAAGGTGAATGGATTTAGCGGTTCTTTTCGAAGGAAAAACGCTCTTAAGGATTATTAACGACATAAAACGCTCGCGGAGAAAACAATGTTTTTCTACGCGGGGGAATTCTAGGCATATGAATTAATAAGAAACGGATGCACAGACGTTTTGAAAAAAAAAGTGACGGCAACTGGAAGTTTTCATTCTTCTTTTGGCATTCAGTTAACCTCTCCCCCTCCCACCAGTGTGTTTGAAAGCTCTCATTTAAGTATTTTGCAATATTTGACAGCGGATGACGTGCGCCTCTAAAAAACGTCTGTGCTTAAGGTGACTTACTACAGTTTTGATGGATTTTAACAGCCCCACTCCTAACTCTTTTCAAAAATGTTCCAAGGTGTGTTTCCTCTCTCTGTTTACCGTTTGCTTAAGTCTTTCACCATTCTATGTGAAACTTGAACAATTAAACGTCAACAAATCGCCAAAATGAACGACCGAGAGACTCGGCACTAGTAGGTTAAATTACGTTTTTCTCAGAAATCTACCGTATGACCCCACCTCAGAATTTCAGGAATAAGAAATTGGCTCTGATTTAACATTCATGCAAAGTAAAATAAAAATCAGTAAGACAGATTTTTCGCAAACTAAGAAAATGTCAGATCAAAAATAGCTCAAAGGTTGCGTTTTCAGTACGCAGATTAACTAACTGAACATTCTTTCTAGGTGTTTGTTTACTGACCAACATTTGCTAGTTAAACGTGACATCTGTTTTCACTGGAAATTTAACCAAGAACTTAACCCGCTGACTCAGAAGATTCAAATTACAAAAGCGCGCAACTTTCAAAAACGGCTGAGAGAGGAAGCGCTTTTTCTCTTGTATTGATTCTAGCTATATTTATGCGCAGGAGATCGAGAAGGCATTTTTTTCTCCAGGGGATGCGGTTAACGTTCCCAGAAATGAGGAAGATGCGACGAAATGTTGTAATGCAGGAACTTGCCCTGCACGTCGAGCGGCGCCGTGTCCTGGCCAAGGAACTGGAGAATCTAGCGGGACCGTAGGAATGGTAAACCGAAATAATTGAGAAGGACTGTTGAACTCGTCTGCCGCTTAAAGTTCTGTTTCGCAAAATGAACCGCGATACGAGCGTCTGGTAAATACTATTGCTAAATTCTTTGCAGGCGTCTGTCACTACGCACAATGTGATTGGCTGCGGCATTTACCGGGACAAGTTATACCATCTCGCGATGTAATATAACTTGGCGTGAATTTCCGGTCATATTGGCGAGATAATCGCTTCTTTTTTCTGGTGAAAACAGCGTGCATTTTTAACTCGCTAAACTCACGACGAACTGTTTTCACTGAATTTCCGGACTTTTCCGACTTTATCTAGCCAAAATTGTCCTAGTGAAAACACATTTAATTAGTTAATTGGTAAATGAGATTATTTTTGAGATTATTTGTGAGTGTCCTCAAAAACATGAGAAGGGTCTGTGGTCTGCTTTTCTTCTCGTGCGTGCCGCGCTCATGTCTCGTCCCGTTTCCTTTTAGCCAGAACATCTCCCCTCTTAATCCCTACTGAATTTCGAGAGAAAAACAGACTGCCAGCAATCCAACGAAACTCAGGTGGGTTCTCCATCCTGGGCGCAGTTTGTATAGTAAAGCTAAGGCCGTGAAAACTTCTTTTCATATAGCTTCGCTGACGTTTTCGGCGTCTCTTCATCTAACTGTTGTTGTAATTGTTCTTGTAACACTCTTTTTCCCCGGTTTGTCAAACTTCTGTCTTGAAACGTGTCGAAACTGAAATCTCCTTTTATGACTTCGTGGGCTCGCTGAAATTGATGCAGAAGATGTGCTTCGTACAGAACTGGATCACTGGTGTAAACATTCACCGACCAGTGCACAAATTTTACTCTTGGCGACAATACTCCGAAGCTGACTGATCTTGGAAAATCATTATCGCTGCATTTCTCGACGGCGAAATACAAATCGATCTCTTGCTGCAGGTAATCGATATTTGATCTTAGAGGCTCTATAGGGAAATGCTCGATTACTAGTAAATTGTTTGGAAACAATTTATGTGCTACAGGGCGAGAAAAGATAACATCGCAAAGGTACTCTTTAGTACAAGCCTCAATCTGGATGGTTGTGGAAAAGGGATGTAAGTGCAAAGCGTTCTTGTTACAATACGAGCTCAAAATATCCAACTGAAGAAGTTTTGTTTGCGAGGAATAGCTTTTCCCAGTTGTGAATCGTTCTCGATAAACGCTCGGATAGCGTCTTTGTATGAACTCATTCATTGCTTTTGATAGCTGGGTATAAACACCCTGTCCGCGAAATTCCGCGAAAGTACGGCCTGCTCGACGAATCGCTGTTCTTCCTTCATCGACGACGGAACACGCAACCAAACCTGCAAGCTTCTCACCAATATAAGCGAGCATAACGTCCAACTTGTCCATATTCATCCATGCTTGGTATCTTAATGGCAGATAGTCGTGTCCATCATAGATTCCCTCTGACAATTTCAGAATTTCGCCGAAGTCACTCGACCTGGCGATACGAAAAGTCAGTTCTTGATTCATCGTCGACTCCCATCCGAACTCATCAAATACTCATCGACACAGTACACTATACACTTACAAGGAACATGAAAGCGAAACTACAAAGCCTGGTTTTCGCCAGCGCCTGAGAATAGAGTGTGTTCACGTGACGTCATCAAATTCTCAAATCCAAAACTTAAGGTTTTATCCTCATCAGGCATAAGAGGTACTAAATTTATTTCCGTTTACAACTTTCCAGCTCAGTAGGATCCTTCGTTTGAAACCAGCACATTTTGAATTTCGGGGTTATGGCAGTGCGTGACATGAAGCTAAGATCGCGTTTGTCGAATAATATACACTTATCTCGTGATCTT